CTTTGATAAATGTAAACTAATGCGAACCTTACAATTAAATTATTAATTCCTTCGTATATTATTGGTTTAAGTTGTCGAAAATTAATATTTCAATTGTAAGGTTCGCATTAGCATACATTTATAAGAGTGGAGAAAAGTATCTATAGCCATTATGGCGAACTAATAAAGTTTGAAAATATCCTATCTGTAACTCCGAACTGCTCGACCGTAGCGCTTCAAAACCGGCGCCAATCGATTCCTCGTGGCCAAAAACCCCAGACCCCCAAGTTTACCGGAGTTTATTAATTCTGGGGCGATTTTCGACTTGGCAACCATTCCTCGTATTATAGTATAAGATATATATATATAATAATTATGTGATACATAATTGTATTTTTCTATTTTAACGCATATTAGTAACAAACTAATGTAACCAATGGATTAAAAAAAGTGCATATAGTCTCAAGAACAATTCTTAACCAAATGAAAAAATCAACCTTTTTTTAAAAATTTTTGGTGCATATTTATTTACTATTGTTTAATTAAAAATTATGTTATTTATAATCATATTTAATACTTAAAAGGGAAATGAAATCTATTTTATAAATTCAATTATCTTTTTGAAAAGATTATTTTTACTTTTATTTACGACTTTTCGAGAAATTAAGAGATATACATACATTGATTCTTTTATCCGAACTTTGAGATTAAGTGTGTTGAACCACGGATATTAGTGGTTTGAAATTTACGAGATACTTTGACTGTGTTTCATATTATAATTGCGGTTCAAAGAGTTATGGATGCAAAATTTAGATTCAAACCAAGTTTAATCGGTTTTGAATCCCTGATCGTGGTTCCAAAATAAGTTCAGAATACGGTTGTGAGAATACTACCTTATATTAAAAATATTCAACGAAAGAAGTCATTAATTTTTTTACTTCTTTAAAGTTAATAAAAATTAATTTTTTCAAAAATTTGGGCATTTTGTTAAAGGTTTGCAATTTGAAAAATATTGTTCTTGTCATGATATTTTTTGCCTATTTCTAATGTTAGATATATTTTTTATTAAAATTTAATTAAAAAATTAAATCCATTTATGATGCGACTAATGATTAATCAAACTTCGCATACAGTTATTGAACTATCGATAATATTAATTGTTTTATTATTTTTCCATATCAATAATAACTATTTTAGTTGTGTAGTATTGATGTGATTAATTGATTTTCTACACAGATTATGCTTAATTCTGCATTTTTGGGCTTATGTCCAGATAAATCATCAAATTTAGTATGGAATTAAAAAAATAATAAGTAAATAAATATTATTTAATTTTTATGACTTAATGAAAAATATTTTTCTGCTAATTTATGTCTACAAATTATTACAAATACAAAAGTTAGAATGCATTCTTAAAAATTATTAAATTTCATGATAAATTGTACTATAAGCTATTTTTAAATATGTTAAACTACGTAAAATAAAATAATGTTGCAAATTATTTTTGTGAATATCTAAAAAATCTAATTCAATAGTATAAATATGATAAATTTCATTTTAATCTTACCCATTTTTTATTTCAGAGTTTGTGACTGGTTGCTGTGATGCTGTATATATTCACATTAATCGCATCGATATGTGCAGTATACCTGCGAATGAAAGTGATTTGAGATCTTGGTTGCACAAAATATTTGAAGAAAAAGACAAGTATGTTTTGTTTTTTATAAATTCTCAAATGGACAATTCCATGTTGACTGACATTACATTTTGATAGGTTTTCTTATTTTTAATTCTTTTTCGTTGATATATATTTAATAATTTTTAAAAATAGTTACATTTGAAGCTTTTTAATTGCCTAATATTATGTATCTATTAAATTATAAATGTTACATTAAGAAAAAAATAAATGAAATGTGACTGACTTTATCTAGAAAGGACATAGAGTTTCACCACATTTTTATTTTGGTCTTCTTTTTCTTCTATTAACAATAGTAGAATTATTTTTAAAAAAATATCTTTAAAAAAGAAAAAAGCTTCAAATTAAAAGAAAACATTGAAAGTACAAGAAATGACATATAAAAAGTGCCACATAAAGAAAAAGCTCTTGTGACTGATGTTGCAATTTTTTTGTAAATGATGTTATAGATGCCAACCATATTAAAATTTTGATAAATATTTTTTATTTATTATTACAAAATGTTTAAAAACTACTACTTTTTATTTTATATCTCAAATAAAATAAACTAAGAAATTTGTTAATGGATCGATTTTATTAAATGTTTATTTTTTTACTAAGTTGTCCTTCGTATTATGGAATTGCCCTAATATTTCACGTAGTTTTGTATAATCCTAGATGGTAGACTTAAGATTTAGCAAAATACATGACTTTGCATGATACAATATTATATTTTGTTATTGTGTTGTAGTTCATCTTAATTATACTAAATGACACTTCCTTCTCCCTCTAGAGTAAAAAAATGCTGTCAATTTTTTAAAATTGTGTTGAAGTACATATACTAGGAATTTATTGGACACTTTTTAACCTTTCATGCATAGATTTCTCAGTTGTATTTTCAATATTGAATAAAGAAAAAGAAAGATATCTGAATATTATGAGTTTATATCTTCATGATTAGAGATGCCCATTTAATTCATATTTATTTTTTGATTGCTATAAAAAATCATTTTTTGCTTTATCAGCTAAAATATTTAACAATAATGACAAATGCCATTGTTCAATACTGCATTACATTTTTAATGCCTATTTTACTTTAATTGTTTTAAAGACTGAATGTTTTTAAAGACTGAATGTTTTTATGTGCCGTGAAGCAAAAAACTCTCCAATTAAAAAAGTGATTATTTTTTTCAACTAAATAAATATTTTCTTCTGTTAGTTACTACTTGATTTTTGAAAAGAATAAAAAGCGTTTGCTTGGTGTAAAAATAGTCCTTTTTCAAATCAAAAGAATTCTCATAGAATTCTCACAATTCCTGTGACATTCATGTCAGGCTAGGTCCAAATAGTTATGCCAGTGGGAGTCATTTAAGTCTGAAAAATACTGATTTGATGCATGGATTAGGTATTCCATGTATAATAGATTGACAGTTTCAATTATAAAACAGAATATTTTTTATTTATTTAAACAGTTAATATTAAATTTTTGAAACTTAAATCATGCTAATTTTTAACGTTTTATCTGTCTGACTGTTTGACTCGTAGTTTTGTTGAAATAATACTCTGTATAAATTAAAATTTTAATAATTTCGGTGATTGCGAAAATGATTAATTTTGTCCAAAAACTGCCATTCTGCTTTATAACTGTTCACTATACAATGATTGGAAGAGGTAAACTACAAGTAGTAAAACTACTGTAGTCACTATTGTTTTTCATATTTTGTAATGTAGTGCACAACTTTTTAAATAAAGTAGTGTAGGAAGTATTTTAAGTTTTATGTATATATGCACATTTATTTTTCTCTGTATGTCTATTTTTATATAAATGTATGCATAAAACTTAAAATAAATGAGCAGTTTTTGAAAAAACAAAAAGTGTGCCCCCCACCTTAGGCTACACCTATGTTACGAATAAAAGCTAATTTATCATTTCGGCCATACATTTAAATATGAATGAACACTCAGGAAATTCTGAAAGAATGTGTGCATGTTATTAAAATGAAAGGGGGCATATTTTCTTTGTAATTTTTTATGTAATTTATTTCTTACAGGAAATAAAAGAGCTTTAAACTCTTAACAAACTTGCAAATATTTGCTAATTTCCTGGCATTTCTAAAATATGCACTGTTGAGAAATGCATAAAAAAGTTAAAGATTAAAAGAACAAAATAGTAAAAAATGATTTAGAAGAACTAACTGACTCATGTAAACAAGAATAAATAATTGTTAATTATTCTTTGTGCTTAATTAAATAAGCAATTTGTCTTATTCAAAACCATTTTGAACCTGGTGGAAAATAAGTTCTCCAACAAAGTTCGTCTCCTAAAATAAGTAAAGTATTGACCGCATTTTAAAAAAAGTCTTTGTAGTTAACCACATTTTTAAAAAGTTGTTGGTTATTGCCAACAAACGTTTTTCGGACTATTGATCTATAGCTTTAAGATAAATGAATAAATTAAAACCATGTAGTAACATGGTGTGTAGCGTTTTTAAAAGTGCTTGAAGGTGCTTATTTTTTATTTGTGTTTTTTAAAAGCCCTTAAAGGTGTTTTTTATTTGGGGTTTGTAGAAGTGCTCAATTTTTTATTTTTTAAGAAGAGATTTTTTCTTTTCTGTATCGATTGTTGTTCTAAATTACGAAAAATTAATGATTTTAATAATTTTCTTTGCAATATTTATCAGAAACTAGTTATTTTATCATGATTATGTAAAGGTTTTGAAAATATTTTTGAATTTCATTTATTTTATGTTTATAAATTCAGAACTTTAAACAATAGAAAATTTTTTTTATTACTGCACAGATCCTAATAATGATTTTCTTTTTGAAAAGTGCTTAAAAAGTACTTAAAAGGTGCTTATTCTTTTTTTTTTAAATCTGGCTGCGCACCTTGAGTAAGCAACATAAAAAAGAAGTCTCTCTCTCTGTTGACCGTGGATTTCCTTCTAGTATTATTGACTATCTACAAATTAGTCTTACATTTCGGTAAATCCTCAGATTTGAACTTAAATTTGTTTGTTTTACTTTATCCCAGTATTAAACCCCAAATCGCTAAAATTTTAAATAAATTGGAGTTAAAAGTGTTTTTTTTACCCGTGAGCAAATTAAATTTTACCAACTTTAATGACCCTGTTGTTAATATTAAGAGTTGGGATGTTAGCCAAATTATACTTTTTTAAGTTTGTTGTTTGCCTTTTTTTTTTTTTTTTTTAAAAGAAAAAGAAAAATAGTCTAAGTAATGTTCCAAAAAATTTTCTGATTTTTTTGAAAAATGTTTTGTAATTTTATTTTGCCTACTAGGAGGCATCTCATCCTCTTTTGGTAAAACAACTTTTTTTCTTGTTGAAACTTGTTTGTAATATTTTTGCACCTCCCCTTTTTACTTCTCCCATTTGTGTGTCAACACCAAGGAAGACTCTTGATTATTTAATTTAATTGAAACTAGTATGTCTGTTTTCCTTCATTTGGGCATGACAAATAATCTGAATAATTGTTATTTATTTGTTATTTTTTTAATTTAATCATTCAGATCAATGATTTTTATTTTTAATAGAGATCAAATTAGTAAAAATATCATAATTTTAATCATTGTCTATTATTTGTTTATTGTAGTTTCAATCGTAACCTTATTGTAATATCTTAATACTTTCTTCTCTCCATAGGATGCTTGATGCATATTACAATGGGAAGCACTCTCCGTCCATGTCCAAAATGTTTCCTTTGTCTAACGGATTCATATCCCCACCTAGGCATTTATCAAATTTAGGATGTCTACTGTTTCTTATGAGCATAAGTGTTCCCTTTGTTTTCACCTCTTATGGACGATCCATTTACTGGAAAACTTGGGCCTTTGGAACAATGTTCGGATATTTCTGGCTGGGTATCCGATCTGTATGTTGACTTGTTTGCTTATAGCGTTGAAATATTAATTATTACTTTTTTTGGAAAGCAGATTGCTAGTCTGAAGAAAGTCTAGTCGTAGGAAACTGAAACCATTTAAATTCTCTTTTAAATCTGAATATTTATTTTATTAGAAACTTGGAACAAACATTCTTACTACTTAATGCATTCGTGTAATATTTGTAGTATTAGCTGAGATTTTAATTAGTGAATGATCTGTAGTAAAGGCTGTTAGAATTCGAAAGTAAGAATGTTAGATGTGTTGTGTATTATAAAAGTAAAAGTAGGCACTCACAATCAAAACTTATCATTAAAAATGTCTCTGTAAATAATTCTTTGTAGAAGTCGATAATTGAAATTTGTAGATATTGTAATTTATATGATGCTCACATAAAGATAATTCCATTTGCTTGCATTTTTCTCTTATCTATTTCTACAAAGATAGTGCCATGCTCAATTTCTTGAGTAATATACTTGACTTTTTATATAAAAATTGCTCTTTAAGATGCATGTTTATTCCTAAATATTAATCAGATTGAAATTTAAAATTTTTACCGATATTCTGTAATTTTTTTTCTTTCATTAGTGCCTTTATGTAGATCAGCTAAATTTTTCTTATTTTTATTTGCAATAATTAGTTTTGTGATGATTTTTTAAGAATTTTAGTCTTTCTTTTGCTTATAATTATTTTCAGATTCATAATCTTTTATAGGTGCTTTTAGCATGTGATATCTTAAATCGTTTGCAGGCTTTTTTTAAAAAATTTGTTTACATCTACTCTAAATTCATTAATAGGCTTGTTATTTGTTATACGTTATTTAGGTCAGATGATTTTTTTCTAATTTTATTATTTTATTGCTGTAGGTTTTATAATTTTAGTTTTTTTTAAAAAAAAACTTATTTACACCTTTAGCATAAAGATATTTTAGCAGGCGATATCTTAAATCTTTTATAGTCTCTAATCATTTAATTTGTCTGCAATAAAAATCATCAATAGTCTTGTGATTTATTGTACACTTTTGTATTTAGCTTCTAGCTGATTCTTTTTTAAACTTTTATTCTAAATTACTATAGATATGTTGTAGGTTTTAAAATCTCTGTCTTTCTTTTGCTCATGACCACTTTTAACTCAATAAATTTTCTTGGGTACTTTTTCAACTTATCTTTTACTTTATCTTTTGCAGTTTCAATTGATTTAATTTGTTTACAATCAAAATCATTAATAGACTTCCACTTTGATTTGTTACACACTATTTTACTGTAACTATCATGTGTGTTGGCATAATCTTTTATTCTTATTATACTTACATTTGCACAATTGTTTTTATACTGTACTGTACTTCTTCTTTTCATTTTCGTCTCTTTATATTTGTGACAATTTAAAATATTGAACTGAATCACCATTTCTCATTCTATCCATTTTCTTGATTTTTGTTTGCTAATTTTGGTATTATTTGTGTTTTAGTTTTTACTGTGTGTTTTAGTATTTTAATTTAGTATTATTTTGCTAATTTTTATTGACTAATTATCTACCTCATCATTTAACCAAGTCAATAAAAAAATTTTAAATTAAAATGTAATTTTTTATGCACATAATTTCATTTCGTGGCAAAATCTTAATTTAATTTAATTTCATTCGTGGCAAAAATCTTAATTTAATTTTTATATCAATATTATATTCATGAGATACTGGTGAAATCATAATCATCAATATGATTTTATCAATTATGATTTAATTATGCTTCGAATCTCTTGCATTTTTATTATGTCTTTCTTTTAGACAAGGGTTGGCGACTTGTTGCTCTTGTAGCTCAAAAAAAAATAGTTTTTTTTAATTAGTTTTTTAAAAAAACACATATACCGGTTTTCTTTAATAAGTGCAGTTATATGTTCTCTTACTATTTTAAATAAATTGTTTAGTTTTCTTCATAAATACATATTTCACAGCAGATAATCGTTATATTGTTTAGAATATTCTGATGTATGTATTTACATTTAGATCTGCAAGAAAAAATAATAATAATTTATTCTAATAGGAAAAAATGACTTTTAATTTCAGAAACATCGCTGACCCCTATTTCAGACTATTGATAGAAAATTTTCTTATGCTCTGAGAATATTGCATTTTTTTTTTTAAAGAAAAATGCTCTTATTTATTTATTTTTATGTTCTCGAAGTATTTTAGGTTAGTGTATTTTTCTTTTTCTGTGATGTTGAAAGTTGATACAATGTCAGAAAATATATTTTCTTTAAATTTGAAATTTTAACATGGAGCATTGTTGCAGAAAAATTATGCATTCTTTTATGATAATATGCATTTTTTTTTAATGAAATTGGTTGTCGTATTTTAAACAATTTTCCAGACATCACAATATATTTTGCATTTTTTTAAAATTTAATTTATTGTACCATTTGATCTGTCTATCTATTTACATTCACAGGTGGTGAAATGTTGCCGTTTCTGGTCTTTGTGTCTTTAAACTCACGTGCATGCCTAAATTGTAAAACAAGAGTATTAATGCTGTATTTCTTTAGTCATAAAAAATGATAGCTATTTTGAAGAGTCTATCAAATCTAAAATTTGTTTACTTTAAATGTACAGTGTTTCAAAAAAGGACTACCCTGAATAACTTTTGATCTAACTGTAAGATAATCACGTTATAGGACTCTATTAAATGGTTTGAGGGGGTGACCTCAAATATGCTTATTAAATAGTGCAGATGATATTTTAAGTTACAAAATCAGACACACAAAAACGCACTTTCTCTAAATAAAAATTTCTTTTTTTCTCATCTAATTCGGATTTTTGACCTTTAAAATATAAAGAGTAGCTGCAATCTATGAAATATTGTCCTCCATAGTTTGGTCCGGAGAGTGTTCTGAAGTTTATACCTCATAATGTTAATTTTACTTTTTATGTATTTTACCACATCTCAAGAATTTTTTAAGCTAAAGGAAATATTTTTGCACACAATTATAAAACTAGCTTATCCAAAGATAAATTCATGCAAAAAATAAATTTTTATAAAATTTTTTTATTTAATTTAATAATAGTAAAAAAATTTGAATTGTAAGGTATACAAATTTTTACATCGTTTTAAAGTAGGTAATTTTACTTGGAGGAATACAAAACTTAGTGTATTTTACCATATTTCAAGAACTTTTTAAGCTAATAGAAAATTTTTTGCACACAAATATAAAATTAGCTTATCCAAAGATAAGTCCAGGCGAAAAAATAGTTTTAGTAAATATATATTATTTTCTATAATAATAGTTGAAAATTTTTAATTGTAAGGTATACAAATTCTTATATCATTTAAAAGTATGTAATTTTACTTGGAAGAATACAAAATTTATACAAAATTTGTTTATCATATCCTGAAAAATTGAATTTTAAAAAAGTTTTTTTAATTGAATTAAAAAAAAAATTATATTTAAGAGATTTTTTCAGCGAAATTATGTTTATTGTTTTTAATTTTATAATTAAAAATATCGTCTAATTAATTAATAAATTAATCACTAATTAATTAGCTTATTTACGGTCACCTCTAAAGCCATTCAGATTGAGTCCTGGAACGTTATAATGCGATCACGGTGGTCCTTTTTTTTTATACACTGTACAGAATGTTAACTAAAATCACTTATCACCCCTCTCTTACCTTTACATTGGCTGCAGCCACAGTCCTAGACTTATAATTAAAAAAAAAAAACAGTTGAACTAGAGTAGGAGAAACCCACAGAATCTCCCGGTGAAAAACTGCCAAGTTAGTGCTGCTATCTCTAAAATGGTATGAGATACAGAAAAATGGTTAAATACACAGTTGTAGACCATTGTGTGGACATCAATGCTTTGGAAAAAAAAGGTTATAATGTGCATTAGTTTAGTTTGATTTTCCTACCCTTTGATTCGACAAAACATTCATTATGTTATTTGAAGGTTTTGCTTTAGAAGTCCATAAAATGTCTGTTTTTATTAAACAGTTCTAAATCTTGTAGCTATTTGTTTTCATATCTTGTACCATTTTCGAGATAGAAACATCGACTTAACAGTACTGCTGTAAGTGGTCGAATTTTTGAATTTCTGTCCACTTAATTATTTATATCTCTTCACTTCGTTTCCTGCTGTGAGTTTTGCTTAAATGTACCTCTCAAAAATAAGTTAATCACTCTTTCTGATCTAGACTGTGAGGATAGTGCATTTGTTCTTCAAACTGAGGGGGAGAATCAGTTAGTTCATTACGCTGTTCACTTCCCACTAGTGCTTCACTTCTTCTGTTTCCCGCTAGTTACGCCACTGACTTGTTAGAACCACTTAATTGCATTACTTTTTTAAGACATTACTTTCTTATAATGAGCTTCAGCCGTTCGAAAGTTAAGAAAGTGGATAAGGATTTTAGTGCATTTCCTGTATGTATTTACTATTTTTAGAATTATCAATTATTTATAAGTGTGCATTGTACTAATGATCCTATTAATTCATCCATATTTATTTTAAATATGGAATTAGTGGCACAATATGCATTTTATTTGTTGAGGGATGCAAGCACAAATGCCTAGTTGTGTTTTATTCTAGATTTTTAATCATTCCTTTTTTTGTAATGTGTCAATGTTTTATTTAAATTTTATTTTACTAGCTAAGTCATAATGTAGGTGAAGTGTTATAAATTATCCGTTATAATCACTGCCTCGCACGTGTTTTACCTTGTACGTACGTGTTTCACCTTGTTTTAAAGAAACTGTGATCTAATATTTATGTTTTAAAAATGCTGATTCTATAATTTTATTGGTGTTTTTTACCATTATTGTTGTTTGTTGTTGTTTAATTATTGAGCTATTGTAACTGTTTTGACTGCTATTTGTTAAATTCTAAATTTGTTTTACTTGTAGCTTTAAATTTAAATGGTTTTATCTTTCTAAATGTTATTTTACATTACTCTGGAAAAAAAAATGTTATACATTTATTTATACATATACATTCCTATTTTTACATGTGTTTTGTTTTTAATTAGATTTGCTTGTTTTTTTATACTTCCAAATTTAAATTTTATGTGACAGTTGTTTGTTTTCAAATTTTATGTATCAAAGGATTCCAAAGTTGAGAAAATTACACAGAGTTTTATTTTATGGTGAGTAAATTTAGTGAATAATTATTGAAAGTTATTGTATCTCAAGTGGTAATTATTTCTTTGATAAATGAAACTCTAATTTATTCATTTGTTTAAAAACAATGCATATAATTAAAAAATAATCTAATAATAAATTTTCATAATCATTAATTACAATTGATCTGACAATTTTTTTTAGGTAGATTGAGAGTGATTACTCATGTGATATAAATTATTATGAAACTATAATGGAATTTATAGTTGTAGTAAGATGTAATGTTGTTTTCTTAACATTGTTAGTCAAAATTATTATACAGTGGAATTTTAGGAATATATTTATAGTTATTCCAAGTTATTCTCGTTTAGTTATTATACTCGTTTAGTCCAAAGTGATGAAATTTTTTGTTTTTGCAATTCATTTGGCTCAAGGGGAAAAAGTCTATTTGTTTTCTTTTCTTTTATAAGAATTTTACTCAACAATTTCATTCCATTCCATTCATATTTCTGAAAATATGCAACTCATTTTTATTACTTTTAAAAAAATTTCATACTTAAAAAGGCAATAATAAGAGTCATATCTTTTTAGCTTTAATAATAAGTGATAACAATCAAATTTTGGAGTAGGAGCTTTACAGTTTTTTTGGTTGCTTCTCATAATCTTAAAAGCTAGACAATAGTTTGATAAAAAATGTCTTTTAGGGTTCACCACCACAGTTTTAAGTTTGGTATTAAAAAACTTGTCAGAATTTATAAAAACCATTTTGGTTATATTTTAATTAGTGCCTAATTCTTGTGCTTTGATAGAAGCAGTTAATGCTGAAAATACTATAGGAAGACTATTTGTATTAGAAAAATAAAACAAGCATTATGGCATAAGGTTTTTTTCTTCTTTTGAATTTGGCTAAAACATTTATTTTTATTAATATACAGTAATTGAAAGAAAGATTTGGTAGAATTGGTCAGAATTGAAACTTGATATGATAATATTCAAACGTTCAAGATGTAGAGTGACATTGGATGTTAAAAATAGTGACATAACACGTTTTTCTCTAAAGAATTAGTATAAAAAATCTACACTAAAAGTTTTTTGGCTAAGTTAATATTTTTTTTTAAATATTTCAATTTTTTTATGCATTATGATTAGGTGCTTCTTCTTCTCCCACTTCAATATATATATATATATATCAATATATATAGTATTATTTATTCCTTGAAAATGAAGGTAAACAATTTTCCAAAAATTATTTCGAAAGCAATAACTTCAATATGAATTTATAAACAAACTTCTCCCATGTAAGACAAAGTAAATATTGCACATAATGAGAACAGATTTTCTCCTGTGAGTTTTGACGCAACCTACCTGTTTGAAATAATTTTGCTTTTTTTTCTTTGATGTGGGAAATATGAGGGTAATGCTTTTGTTATAGGAACTGAGGCACGGACTCACTGATAGTTCATTCCAATCTTATGTGATATTCTTTTTTGATTCTTTTCTTCAATACCTTTTTGAGAATTTCATTTGGATGTTTATTGGTTCTAATTGTATTGGTTTGGAAATTAAGCAGATTTTATGTGATGTTGGTGATATAGAGCAGCTATTGTTGCTTTAAAAACTGTTTGGTAATTCAGCTATAAAATGCCAATTGTGCTTTGTAAAATTTGAAACAAATGGATTTTTTTATCAAATGTAGAATGGTTGATTTCAAACTTAAGTCAACTTTTGTTTTGAACTTAACAGAGGACAATTTTTATTCAACAATTTTTAATTAAACTCAAAGGAGTAAATATATAATTTATTTCTCATCTATAGTTTATTTTTTTATAAGAATATTACAGTAGATATACTATTGTCATATGGGAATCTGTGTGATTATGGATAAAGATGCTTGTTGGGTGATGTTAGAAATGTACCTTTTTACATGAAAATACTTAGTAATTTAAAATGATGATAAAATAGTTCGTTATGGAGACATAACTTAAATTTGTTAATATCTTTGATTTAATGATTTGATTTTTAAAACTATCCAAAATGCCTTTTGCTTTTTTATTTTTTAATATGAAAAGAGTTTTGCTACCCTTTGACCTTGCTTTAATGAAGTTTGACTTTATTTCTGATTCATTAATCTCCTAGTTTTTAGAAAATACACACAGTCTTTGTTCTATGCACATTTAATTTTCAAAACTCTACTGTATCAATTATTTTTGTTTTTCTGATCCTGACTAACATAAATTTATCATAGTAAACAACTTTTTTAAGTTATTTTTCATCTGAGAAAGTGCTATTTATAAAATATTTTGTTATGAACTTAATTTAAATTCTTCAAAATCTTTGATTAAATGATTTGATTTTTAATACTATCCAAAATGCCTTTTCCTTTTTTATTTTTTAATATGAAAAGAGTTTTGCTACTCTTTGACCTTGCTTTAATGAAGTTCGACTTTATTTCTAATACATTAATCTCCTAGTTTTTAGAAAAGACACATAGTCTTTGTTCTATGCACATTTAATTTTCAAAACTCTACTGTATCAATTGTTTTTATTCTTCTGATCCTGACTAACATAAATTTATCATAGTAAACAACTTTTTAAGTTATTTTTCATCTGAGAAAGTGCTATATTCAAATTTTATAAATATGTCTGTAGGTAGTTCCAACATTTATCAGAATTTCAATTTGTTAACTGTGATGTTTTATAAATGCACCCATAACTTAAGAGATGTCATAATTTTTGTTTTATCTACTTAATTTTAGAGTTATTTTATCTCTTGCATCTGCAATATTTAGTAGTGGATCTATTGGAATTTTTCTTTTTGCCAAAATCATGAATTATCTGTCAAATAATAAAATATTTCATACAAACCTAAAACATTTATTAATTTTTTTTCCATGTTTAAATGTAGCCATTTCTACTTACTATTTTCTACAATGGTATATTAAAAAAGATGGAACAAATTATATCAAATGTATTAGCATATTGTATGATAATATAATGTTAAATTGCATGAAAATATCTATTCCTTGTTATGATATTGAATTGTTTAATTTTTCTCAGGGTTCTTACCTTAATAG